GGGGGGGGGGGGGGGGGGGGGGGGGGGGCAGCACCTCCCTGCTTTTGTGTTCATTTCACTAACCAGCTAATTAATTACAAAGTGAGGCTGAGTCAGATTCCTCCTACATCACACAGTTGACTTATGGTCCAAAACCTTCTTTAGATATCAGAGTGAGGAGGCCCGGGTTCTGTGGTCCACAGCCACTGAGGTTCTCGATGAAAGCAAAGAGGGGCCAGGAAGGGACACTGAGGCAGTCCTTATTTCACCTAGCTTAGTGGTTCTGTACTCTGGTCCCAAGTTAAAACTTAAGAGCTTTGAAAAGCTCGGTTCCATATTTTCAGACTCTTAGTGAGAGGAAGAGGCCTAAACACTGCCTTTTAAAAGTCCTCCCAGATTACACCAGTTTACAGCCAAAGCATGCTTTACAGACAGCCACTGTATTTATAGAACACAGGCTAGTTAATTGGGAGATTCCACTTAAGTAAACTCACCTAGAGAAACTGTTATAAAAATGTGACAGTAAGTGTTTTGTGTGTACCTGAAGTCTTGTAAGGCTTTGTTCATGTGAGGGAGCTCTGGAAAAAGCATCCTGAGGAACTTCAAGCGTTGGTGTCATCAACCCTGTCTTACAACAAAGCAAGCAGAGCCAGAGGACGGTGGCTTGCTCGCTAAGCAGGCTCTCCCAGAAGAAGAGGAAGATGTGCATCGTGTCAGTTAAGTCTTCTACCTCTCACCTCCTCTCATCAAAGAACGGGATGCGACTCCTTTGCCAGAGTCTGTTGGCCAAACAGGAGAGGCAGATCCAGCACAGTTCCACCCCACAGTTGCCACAAGAGCAGCTTCTTCAAGCATGAGGGTTCTCTGCTCTAGCCACAGGTTAGACCCTCACGGAGAGCGGGAAAATCCCTAGACCAGTATTTCCAGAATCTAGCCAGGCAGGGAATGTGCACACTCCAAATGAGGATGCCTGGAAGAGTGAGGCTTTCCAAGGAGTCAGTTTACCACTGGGCTGTGAACTCTGGCCTAACCATAGTTGAGTAAAATTTCGCTCTTTGTCAAGTCTATCTTCATCCTCTGTGGGAGACGCTGGAGTGTTCATTTGAGGAGCTGAGTACTCTGGATGGAAAGTAGAAAAAGGGTGAAAACATCTGTCCTTTCCATATGGCTGATGAAGACAGTCCCATTACCCCCTCAGCCAACCCATAGCTAGATGAACAAGGGGCTGGAGTCTGACTGGTAGAGATTGATTCTGCATGCAAGTAAAATACTCTGACTTTCTCTGAGAAAACAAATCCTGAGCTCCAGGAATATCAGAAAGGTCAAAACTGCTAAGCTATCTTTCCTAAAAACAAGCCTCAGTTCAGGATTACCTCAACAGAGAACGCATTAAGCTTAGTAGAGACAATGCCCCAATTTTATCTCTACCCAATGAGGTGGTGAGGAACATTGGCCAGGCAGAGCCAGGAAGAATGAGGTTTCTCCCACTTAGTTGATGGACTGACTCATCATCCTGAATGTGTGGATGTGCTGACATCAAATCCACCTAGTCTTCCACGTCTTTTACCATCAGGCAACAAAGCATCTTCACATTTCAGGCATTTCAGGCTGAGGATAAGTCTGTTTCTTCGTCGCTGGTCTCTGGAATTACTTTCAGACCAAAGCATGTGTCCTCTTTGTTAGATCCCGAGCTTTTGATTTGTTGCTTCTATGTTGAGACAAAGGCATACTGTCCCTGAATTTATGGAAATAGACTTTCAGGAAACCCACTGAATGAGTAAATAAAGAATCTTGAAAAGAGCTAGGTGTGGTAGCACACACCTTTAATTCCAGTGCTTGGGAGGCAGAGGAAGGTGGCTTTCTGTGAATTTGAGGTCAACCTGGTCTGCATAGTGAGTTCCAGTACAGCCAGACTACATAGAGAAACTCTGTCTAAAATAAAAATTAAAATTAAAAAGAAGAATCTTGAAAAAGTTATTATGGAGAACATACTCATTTTGATTTTTAAACTTATTTTTATTTTTAAAACTTACCAAGCAAACAACACAAAATGTATTGCATAGTTATGCCATGGAGAATTAAATTCATGTTTTTATCTCACCAAAGAAATGACAGTATTTGTTGTAGTACAATAGCCACACTAACCACGAAAACCAATCTTAATGAGATCTTGATGGTTTATTGAATGCAACACCCCAACACT